GTGTTCCTCCACGAACTGAAATAGGAAAAGGTCCCTAAACATAAACTGTGGGCGCAAAGCGCGGCTTTCTTGGAGCCGCGCTGGGGCCCCTTCGGCGGCGCCTCAGTCGCCGCCCCTGGCGCGCTCCGCGCGCCGGGGAGGGCGGTCCAGCGCAGATCCAAGAAATCCGCGCAGAGCGCCAAAAGTTTATGTTTGTCGCGTTGCTTATTATTACTGTTCGTAGTTATGATGATTTGTGAATGTTAGACATATACGCTTTGCTATTAATAATTATATTATTCGTATGTTTATCATGATTACGGATATGAGTATAGTATTGATGTTGTTCTTTTCGTTAATATTGTAGACGCTTCGCGTATCCCCACCAGTTTCCTTCGCAGGTGGCATAGCCTGCCCCTGCTTGCCCTGCGTCCGACTTGATTCGTGCGCCTGCGTACCCAAAGCCCCACCAGCCCATCCAGAAACGATGTCCAGGCGAGTTGGGGTGATCAGGGAGCAAAGAGGTGGACGGTCGAACCGTGCAAGGGGAGGAAGAGAAGGAGGAGGTTGGATGAATGGATGAGGGAGTGGGGAAAACGAAGATATATGAAATGATGATGATGAGGAGGAGGAGGAGGAGGACAGGAGGAAGAGAAGGAGTAGGAGGAGGAAGGAGGAGCAGGAGGAGGAGGGCAAGCAAAATGGTTAGAGGTCTCTTGGATGCCTCCTGGGGCCTCTTGGGATATCTCTTGGGCGTTTCTTGGAGGCCTTTTGGGACGTCTTGGTGTCTCTCGGCGGTCCTGGGGGGCTCTTGGGCGTCTTGGGTGCCTCGTGGGACATCTTGGGGCCGCTTGGGGTCCTCTTGGGGCCTCCTGGGCGCCTCTTGGGGCCATCTTGGAGGAGATCGATCAAAGAAGGGGGGAGCTTTCATTAGCCTCCCCCCTCGGGAGCCCCAAACATCACCTCTTGGGTTCCTCTTGGAGCGCTCGCTCGTGGAGCGCTCTTGAGCGCTCTTGAGGCCGTCTTGGGGCTCTCTGGGGCCTCTCTTGGGGCCTTCATGGGCCCTTTTGGAGCTGTCTGGAGGCCACGGAAGGCCATCGGAAGCGAAAAGGCGAGAAGGCAAAATTCATTGATTTTCCTCAGGTTGTTGAAGGATTTGGGCTTCTTGGCGGCCTCCTGGGGGGGCTCCGTGGCCGCTCGGAGCTGTCTTGAAGCGGTCTTGGGACCTCTTGGAGCATCTTGGGAGCCATCTTGGCGCATCTTGGGGTATCTTGGGCAAGATTGGAGGTCATTTTGGGCCCTCTGAGGCCCTCTTGGAGCCATCTTGGGCCACCTTGGACGCCCCAGCGACCTGCGAAACGCTCCGTCCAGGTCCGGGCGAGGGGTACACCCCTCCCCGAAGAGGAAGCGCCGATCCGAATGCTCGATTCGAGTCGGGCTCCTCCTGCTGGGTAGTCGAAGGCCAGACTGTCAGATTGGATTGAGCCCCAAGGGCCAATCTGGCCTGGCCAAACTGGATGATTTGGGTTATTCGCCAGACTGGATTCGCGTCGGCTCCCTCGCCAGATTGCCCCCGTTTGCCAGATTGGGCCTGCCAGATTGGCGCCAGATTGGCTTCGACTACCCAGAGAGCGCGGCCCAACGATGGCGAAGTGCCACAGGGGGGCCGCAGCGCCCCGCCGCTGCGGAGTGGACGCTCTCTCTGAGGCTCTTCGCGGCTCGTCGAGGCCGCCAGGCCGCAGCCAGCGACCCAGGGGCAGGAGGAGGAGGAGGAGGAGGAGGAGGA